ATTTATCCTTTGACCTATGAATAATTTAGAAATATGTTTCTTAATCTCCAAATACATGAATGTTTCCTAGTTATCTTTGTGGTTTTTATTTCTTACTTGCTTTGTGAATAGAGAACATAGTCTGTTCAATACTATGCATTTGAAATTTGGTGTATCTTACCCTATACACAGTATGTGGTCAGTTATCATAAATGTACTCTGCATACTATGTGCTTGAAAAGGATATGTATCCAACAATTACTGGGTGCACTATTCTGTATATGTACATGACATTTGATAGCACTTTTAATTGGGTAGTTTAAGTGTTCTATATTTTGATCTTTTAATCTGCTTCTTCTGTTGATTACTTGAGAGTGGGTTAAAACCATCTACCATAATGATGAAATAATTAATTTCTCCTTGTAGCTCTGCCAATTTTTTATCTCTAAAATGACTTTTTGCCTCAAAATCTACAACAGCTTTCTTACAGTTGGTATTTGGTTAGTGTGTCTTTTTTCATTTTCAATATATCTTTAACACTACATTACAGAAGATTCTTGTAAATAGCATATACCCAGATTCTTATATCCTGTCTTATAAAATTAAGTGGCACACTTATTATCATTATGGAGATATGTGATTTTACTTCAACCATCTTACATGTGCTTTCTATCTATGATACCATTTCTATTTTTTCTCTTTTCTTTCTTGCCTTGTTTTAAATGACTTTTTTTTTGCCTCTACTATCAAAAGTTATATTTTTATTTATTTCTAACCTCTAGGTTATTACCCTAGAAATTATAACAGGCTTACATTTACCTAAGTCTAAAATCAATCCATATATTTATCTTCTGTCTGAGAATATAAGGATCTTGAAACCCTTTAAGTCCAGTCGCCATCCTCTTGATAATCACGTTGTCATCATATATTTTAGCTCTTTCCTGTTTGTTTTTAACTCATCATTATTTTTTTACAGTCCATGTTTGCTTAGATTTACTCCCCACATTTATCACTATCTTTTTTCTTTATTCATTCTTACATCTCAGATACTCCTTTAGGAATCTCCTCTTGCCTGATTGCATCTGTTGAAATTTCCTTTAGTGGACTTTTGTTGGTGGCAAACTCAATTTTTGTCTAAAAATATATCAACTTTATTTCTTCTTTGTGAATATTGTTTCTGACAATTAAAAGCTATTTTCTAGGTTGAGACATTTTCTCTCAGCACACTGAGCATATTATTCTACCTTCTGCCTAAAGAGGCTATTAAGAAGTCAAGCTCTCACTCCAAATTCATTCCTTTGAAGGTAATGGGATTTTTATTCCCACTAGCTGCCATTTTTAACAGCTTCATTGAACTATAATATACTTGCCAAACAATTTACCTCCTTAAAGTGTACAGGTGATGGTTTTATGTATATTCACAAAATTGTGCAACCATCATCATCATCCAATTTTAGAACATTTTCATCATCTCAGTATGAAATCTTGTAACTATTAGAAGTCACTCTCCATTCGTCACCCTCTACCCGCAGCCTAAGGCAACCAATAGTCTACTTTGTTTCTATAGATTGACCTTTTCTGGGAATTTCATATAAAATGGACTCTTAAAATACACATATTTTAAAAAACTTTAAAAAATACATATACTTTGTGACTGGCTTCTTTCACATAGCACAATGTTTCAAGGTTCATGGATGTTGTAGCATGTGTTAGTACTTCATTGCTTTTTATGGCTGGATGATACTCCACTGTATGAATATGCCATATTGTTTCTATCCATTCATCAGTTGGATAGACACTTGTTTCCATGTTGTGGTTATTATGAATAAAGCTGCTAAGAACATTCATGTGCAAGTCTGTGTGGTCGTATGTTTTTATTTCTCTTAGGTATATATATAGATGTAGAATTGCTAGGCCATATGGTAACTATATGTTTAGCATTTTGAGGAACTTCTAAACTGTTTTCCAAACTGATTATACCATTTTATATCCCCACTAGCAACATATGAGTGTTCTAACTTCTTCATCTATTGTTTTACTTATAGCCCTTCCAGTGAGTATGAAGTGGTATCTCATTATGGTTTTGATTTCTCTAATGACTAAGAGGCTATCAAGCATCTTTCTACATACTTATTAGTTATTTATATATCTTCTTTGGACAAATGTTCTAAATGCTTCTTAAGACTTTTTCTTTGCCTCTGAGATTTTATGGCTTAATTTTGATGTAAATGGATAGATTTCATTTTATTTTTTCTATCTGGGGTACTTTG